CTCTCTCTCTCTCTCTCTCTCTCTCTCTCTCTCCTCTCTCTCAATATTTTACACTTCGCTGGGTTCCGTGGTACCGGCTTTCGTTCCCTCGCTCCCCGCGATCCGTGCCTCTTCCTTCTCGTTCGCAGCAACGTCGGCTGCGCGTCGGGCAAACCTTGTCATGTAGTTCTGAACAAAGAAATTCGCACGGAGGGATGGGAGGGGGGCAAGAATCGCTTAGAGGAGCAATGCGGCATGAGTCGTTAACGGTCCGACCACCAACAGCGTGCGTGCACATCCCACGCCTCTCTCGCACGAAACCGTTCCCAATGACCTTGTTTCGTCGACAAAGCAATGGAGTTGGGAGTGTCGTGATGCTTACCCCTCGAGAGGTGCAAACAGTGCTACTGACGTCACGAACCACGAGACAACCAGCGCTACCAACACCAGCAACAGCAACAGCAGTCGTCAACAGCAGTAACCGCAACACCAACGACAACAACATCAACAGCAACACCATCAACAACTACTGACGCTACGAACCACAGACAAGCAACGCTTCAACATGAGAAACAGCAACAGAAACATCACCACCAGCAGCAGCAGCTACACGTTTCACCTGAAGAACACGTTGGTCCGCTTCGGTCAGCACCCCCCCTCGGGTCCCCGACGTGATCAGAGAATCTCCGGGAGCCCCGGCGCCCACCCCTCCCCCTCCCCCAGTGCCCCAGGCGAGCTTCGCAGCGGCGGCTGTCCCTGGCTCGCCGCTACCACCGACGGCACTGGGGCTGGGGTTAGCACCTGTGGCCTCCGTTCTTGCCACCGAGGCGTCGAGGAGAAGTGTCTCTAGGAGGAGGGCGGCCTGACACGGCGAGCACGAGGGGAAGAACATGAAGCCGCGTGAGACAAGACTTTACACCAAGCAGAGAGCGCGAGCAACGAGAGGGTTGGTGTGCCGTGCGTAGGCCACGCAGAGCACACTGCAAGCAAGGAGGGGTTCAGTGTGCCTGCCGACCTCACGCCGTCGGTCTGTTGTTGTCCAAACGCCGTTGGTGAGTGGCGTTTTGCGTGTTGAGATTCAGCATCGGCCGCGCCAACAGGCTCAGCAATGAAAATACGGCAATGCGTGTGTGTTTTTCAGTACTACGCTCTTGCAATTGGCATTGAGCTCGCTAACCGGCTGCCTGATGCGTAGACAACCGTGTAAGCACGTGTGGTTACTTTTAAAACACTTCATCGACAGCCCTAACGCGCTGACCAATGAAAAGACGTCCGTTCCAGCGAGCAAAAACCAAGGTCCGTGGGAGGGGGGGGGNCAAAGCCGGGACGGAGCACGCCGGGTTCTCACCGGACCAGGCTCTCACATCACCAAGCGCGAAGCGCCGTGAGATATTCGGCGAGTCGCATGAAGGGTGCGCTGCATCCTGCTAAGGGTTTCGGCATCTTGTGCTTAATTCCTTGCGTACGGATGACAGCTGCGTATGACTTAATTTACTTTCTGGTGCTTTCACTTCGTAAGACAGTTATAAGCACTGTGTAACTGCCTCGAGGGTGCTTGCATTTTAACACAACGTGGTGCGATCATCCCCCTTGCGCGGAGTGAGGGTTCTCGGCCCCGCACAACATGATCTACTCGACCACCATTATGATTACCGCCAAAAAAAAAAACGAAGGAAGAAAAGAAAAACGGTAACCTGGTTGCCGAGTTCACTAAGTGAATTGGCTTGTTTTACAACGTCGTTGCCAAGCGACGGAAACCCTACCCCGATGGCAAACACCGGGGGGGGCGGCTTGTTTTACAACGTCGTTGCCAAGCGACGAAAACCCAACCCCGATGGCAAACACCGGTCCGTGGGACGGGGCCACAATGCGTGTTTGATTTGAAGCATCGACCGCGCTAACTGGCTGACCAATGAAAAGACGTCAGTCTCAGTGCTGTTGAAAAGTCACCAAATGCTTCTAAAGGCCATGATCTGGGACCGCGCGTGTGTCTGCATGTGCGCACTTTAGTGTGTACGTTCCTTCCAACTGTAGGACAACCGCCGGGAAAAGTAGGCATGGATACAGCAGAGGGACACAAGCGGTGCTTGAAACTTTGGTGAACGTGGGACTGAAGGCGCAGCGAGCATCACCATGCAAGTGTATGTAACGGCGGGAATGATGGAGGCACACAGTCTTAACATCGATTGCTCCTGAAGGGAACTGTGACTACGGGTTAGAGCTAACGGCATAAGTAAGTACTGTGGGCGCTGGTTTGAAGTGAAGACCAAAAAGCAAAAGAAAAAAATCGGTAGAATCCGAAGACCTGAGTTCTGCGTGGCTATCCATGTGAGTGCACGACGCGAAACAAAAGAGCGTTATTGTATCTTCCAGCTTCATCTTGATCAACGCAGCGATATCGTTCTTGAGTCCCCTTCCCGACAACAAGCTATTTAGGCCTGTTCGTACTTAGCCCATGCACCAAGCAGGGAGCAACTCTCCTTTTACTGGCCGGTGCGCAGAGTGGGACATGATAGGCTAGCTCATCTGTGCTCTCACGGACTCCATGGATAAATAGNGTATCATGCTGCCTGCATCGTCGACATCGCCGGGCACGGTAGATACCACCGAGACCGCATCTGTGCTCTCACGGACTCCATGAATAAATATAGTCCGTCGTTCTAGCATTCACGGTTTTCTCGTTTGCTGTTCGGCGTCACGACAACCGCCGTGTGTGTTGCAAGTGTACATCCGTTGACGTAGACTAGCATGTCTTGCACTGCATGGTCTTCTTGAGGAAGACGTCCCGGACAAGACCCATGCAGTGCAAGACATGCTAGTCTACGTCAACGGATGTACACTTGCAACACACACGGCGGTTGTCGTGACGCCGAACAGCAAACGAGAAAACCGTGAATGCTAGAACGACGGACTATATTTATTCATGGAGTCCGTGAGAGCACAGATGCGGTCTCGGTGGTATCTACCGTGCCCGGCGATGTCGACGATGCAGGCAGCATGATACCTGTGCCAGCAAGAAAAATGATATGCTGTTCCATGGCAAAGGTTTTGGCGGAATACTAGGCAAAGGAGGGGATGAGTTGAGACAGGGAGATTTTGCCCATGGCCAAGGCGGTTGATTGGTTTACCGCAAGGCTAGACATGTCGCTACAACGTAAGACGCGGAGGGACGTGCGGGACGGCTCCATCCCGAGAGTTATGAATGAAGAACCATCACCTTCTGCAAAGGGTCGCACATGTTCATACCACATTAGTGCTCTTCCTTCTCGAGCAGGGACAACAGCACTCGCGCCGCGTACGTCGTCGCCCGCCACAAAAAAGTCCGGGTGAGTGTCGCCACGGCGAAGACTTGCCCTAAACCAGCAAAAACATGGAACCACCGCTCCTGCTTCCATGACTCAACATGAAGGCATGCCATCCCACATGCATACCTTCTCGTAGCCCTTGCGAGCGGGTTCCCACATGCCGAGCACCTCGCTCGCGGCCGACTCCTTCGCCATCGCTAGCGCCGCCCTCACCACGATATCCCTCGCAGACACCGCCACCGCCGCCGGGGCCGCCCCGTGCTCGTGCCCCCCCTGCACTACCGCCCCCCCCCCACCCCCTCCCCTACGCTCGGCGGCAACGATAGCGGAGGATCTTTCCGGCGACGCCGAGACAAGGGTAGCCCCACCCAAGCCCAAGTCAGGGTCTACGGCACGTCCCTGACCATCACCACTGCCGGCGGCGGTGAGGGCGGGAACGGCGGGCGCAGGGTCCACCACCCCGCCAGAGGCGCCGGGAGAGGAGCTAGTGGCAGCGCTTGCACCACCGCGGTCCGGCAGGGCGCGGCCTGTGTCCGACGCTGCCGGCGTCGTTGCCGCCCCGGAGCTCGACGTCGCCGCCGCCGTGGCCGCGGGTGACTCCGTCGAGGCAGAGCCGCGCAGCTCCGTCCTGCAGCGCTCGGCCCTCCTCAGCACCGCCGAGAACTGGCCGCTCAGCCACAAGAGAAGCGACGACCCCCACGCCGCCACCTGTGCCTCCGACGACAGCTGCGGCGGCGGTGGCGCCGCCGCGGATGATGATGACGACGAAGAACCGACCCCGCTAGCGGGTGCCCGTGAGGAGACAGGACCGTCGGCGGCCTCGACCGCAAACTTGCCGGACCCCTGCCGGCGCTGGTGCTGGTGCTGGTGCTGGCTCCTGCTAGGGAAGTCGTCGTGTGCTGCTGTTGTTGCGGTCCCCCCCTCGACGACGGCCGCTCGCCCCCCGCCTGGGCTCCGCACGTGCGGGGAGCCAGTCGGCGGTGGCGGCGGTGGCGGCGGTGGCGGCGGCGGTTGGTTTTGCGCCTGGTGGCGCGATGATGATGCGGAGGGAGAAGAGGCCGAGGGGGCTGTGACGGCGGGCGATACGGGAAGGCACTCCAACGCCTGGTTGCCCCAGACAATCGCCTCCTTGGCCATGGAGAGGCTCTTGAGGTACAGGACCAACGCTTCGCCGAAGAGACGGTGGCTGTCGCAGCAGGCCGCCGAAGAGGAGGAGACGGAGGACCCCAAGAAGCCGGTGTCGCCACCACTAGCACCGCTGAGAGAGCCCTGGCAGGCGCTATGACTGCTCGAGGACGGGAGCCACGGCTCTTCCATGTCGACGAATAGCGGAGGGTTGTCTGCCGGCGGTGGAAGCAAAATCAAGGGTCGTGGCAGTTGGTGGTGGATGGAGTTACATTTTTTAGATAACAGACTTATCCAGTACGCTACTCAGTGAGCTTGTTGGATAAAGACTTGTCCAACATGCCACTCAGTCGGCGCTGACTGAGTAGCATAGTGGATAAGTCTTCGTCTAACATTTTTGTGAGCAGGCCCACAGTGCACGCGGGCGAGGTTCCAAGTTGGCGAACGAACGTAGCGGCAAGGCTGCCGCGCGTGATCAATCAAACCCTACACTCGTTGCCCCGTTTTCTCTTAGCCAAGCCAACATCGGACCATGACTACTACAGTTTTTATCATTCACACATTTCCTACGGATACCTGGCCAACGCTTCGAATCTGCCGCACGATTGGGACGAAACCCCTACAGTATGCCCTACATACCTCGAGAAAACGCGCAGAAGTTTCCGCCCCGGTTCTGGGCAAACAATCCGGCGGGTGTGCCGTTGCCCGCGCCGTCGCCCGCCATCCATGCACCGGCGGCGGCAGCCCGAGCATGTACGTCAAGCTTCGACTTTTGGCGGCATCGCATGGCGGGGGCCACTCGCGAATCTCCCAGCTGGGAACAAAGACAAGTGAAGGTGGAGAAGTTCGTTCAAGATATGTAATGAAGCTCAGATGTTGGCCCCGTGTTAGTGGCGCTTGTGCCGCAGTTGGTGGCAGTGAGCACGAACTGACATGTACCGTAGGCACCATGTTGATTCTTCGAGAAAAACGTCCGTCTTCTTAGAAAAACACGAATTCAAGCGTACCGCGGCCTCCGGTACATGTGTACATGTCGCCTTTGGCAAGAAACAAGAAAGGGCTACACATCACGTATACGGATACGCTTCCAACAACCCCAAAATGCCGAGGTTTGCCGTTGTGCTACGCAGGTATACTCGGAAGAAATTGGATGTTGTAGAAACAGCATTTCGCCTTTAGCTGTGATACTGGAGGCTCTCAACTCAAACTGTCTCACCTCGGCCAAGAGAACCGCGCGCCGTCCGAACAATTCGACTATCTGAGATGTGGGTCAGATTATGGCGAAGGGGAGGGGGGGGGGCGAGAGAGTTAGCAGTTGGCAACATGCACTCGAGGTAGGGTACGAGCTTAGCGACAAAACACACGTCGGCTCGGAGGGTGGATTTGGATGTCCTCGAACAGGCGCCCGATTTGTGGCTACAGATTCAACACCGACTGAAATGTCCGACGTGGAACGAAGGAGGGGTACGGCAACCGAATACAATTCGCTCGTCGCACTGATGTCTGGCACAAGCCGAATTCAAGTCGGACACGGCCAAGCAAGCGCGAATCGAAAACCACGCCTTGAAAATTATTGCGTTTCAGAAACATATGGGTCAAAGGTGCTCTCTCTTTTGGATGGCCGGACCAATGATGAGAGACAAAGGGAAACACGCCGCACGCCGCTTCTACTCCCCCCCCCCCCCCC